ACTCCCGCAGGCACAAAGAAATTACGGAGGCTATCACTTATCACCTGAACAAAGATATGGCTCCCATCAACACTGTGCAAAACGAGGGATTTAGGAAAATGATCAACACCCTAGACAAACGCTACACAGTGCCGTCCCGCAACTATTTTTCTATCGTTGCACTACCTGCTCTATACACGCAGCGTCGAGCAACGGCGGAGACGGAATTTCAAGCAGTACAACATTTTGCGGCAACGACATAATGTGAGACATTTGTTGTTTTTATGTTTATTTATTGTTTTTATGTTCAGTCTCAACTGTTACGAAGTTGATGTGCAGTTAATAAGTGCAATAAATATTTATACTGGAAAAGAAAATCGCGAGAGAATCGCGATCTCAATTCTAAGCCAAAAAAATCGTGATTCTCATTTTACGCAAAATCGTGCAGCCCTAGACTCAACACTAGTCAGGTGTTTTTAGCACATCAAGGTTTTCTGAGTGACATTGTGTCCTTGTAAATGATTTCACAATAGCGCGGTCTTAATATTACAGTGGTCGTGACACAACAGTAAGCAGATCCGGCAGGATCGCTAAACCTGCTGATTAAATGACACACAGGCCAAAACAGTTATGTCGAGTATCTGTAAATAGAAAAACATGTTACGACAGAGCAACGGTTTGTCGGTGAAGTGCTCACATCAAACGGTGGGAGATGAAGAAGGATTAGTAAGGTGAGTAAGTGCTCCAAATCCTGCTGTTTTGAAAATGTCACGATAATACAGCCAGGTTTTGTCTGCTGAAGTTCAGCATCCACGGAGAACAAAGGAGAGACGTTTCAGAAATGCTTTTCTTTCTCTCAGCTGCAAAGGCGTCCAATCAGATGAAGCATAGCCACATTGAAAACTCTGATTTTATTTTAGCTGAATGTAAATAATGTCTTGGCACACATGCCTTCCCTGAAAGGGAGTGAGAAAAGGACATGAAAAAAAAGAGGGGGTGACCACATATGAGAAAATCCACGGGAGAAAAGTATGCCTTTATCTTTTAATAAACGGTAAAGCCAGGAGGCAACATGAAATTACAGCATAATAGCAGTGGAGAGTCTTCTGAAGACTTAATTGCCTTAATTATAGCAGTGCGGAGAGAGAGAGAGAGCGAGAGAGAGGGAGCAGGAAAGGAAAGCATGAGCAGAAGGAGGAAGAAGGAAAAAAAACAAGGGAAGCAGAGAAGAAAGGTAGCAGTGGGATAGAAGAGCTGGAGCGTGAGACAGATATTGCAGGTGTATCCAGGTGTAGTTCGGTTTGCACGTGAGCCTGTGTTTTTCTGTTAAACATGCATTTATAAACGCACACGGATGGCTCTGTGTGTGACACAGAGTTAATATGCCAACCCTCGGTCCGTGTGAATGACGGAGTGAGTTCTACACTGAGAAGAGACTCTTTCCAGACGAGTGAAAATTTCGCTCCCTCAGATCTTACAAGCTGGCAGGTTTACTTAGGGATGCTAAACATAGCTTTCATTTTCCTCTGCGTCTAGACTGAGTCCTCAGTGCTTTCTGCTGCGGTTTTTGTTCACTCGGGGACGATTGTACCCTAATTCTAATGTCTCCGAGCCAGCGGGAAGTTTGTTTAGCCAGCATTATTGTGAAGTACCTGTAAACCCCCCCCCAACCACCATTTTGGCAGGCAGTTCGGGTTGAGAGTTCAGCTGACTTTTGAGCATGGATGACTGATCAAGAGAGGGAGAGAGATCACGTCTCAGCTTTGAGAAAAATATTAACTTTTTGCAGGATTTCACAGTGAGACAGTTTTCGGTTTGCCTTGTTTTTGACCACCTCTGTTTGCCTCGCAGGGGTTTTGTCCTGATATGTTTACTTTTTGATTCATGGATAAAGATCAAATCTTACAAACTACCGTTGGTTGAGTAAAAAAGTACAAAAGATGGGGAATCATGGTAATCTAATATTATCTGAACACTTTATAGTGTTTCAAGTTCTTGATCAGTGAATCTCCACTGGTGAAAGAAGCTCTGTTTAAATATACTTCACTTCAAAGGTGTCAAAAGTAAAAGTACTTCTGCAGTAAAATGATCTTCTTAGTGTTTATTGTATTTTTTATTATAGATGACATTGTTATTCACTCATTATCACAAACCGGGGTGCTTGGGAGTAACTTAAATAACAGTTTGTTGTATTTTATGAAATTACACTACACTAAAGAAATAGTTCCATAATTACATCACTACATTTTATCATTGTCCACATATGTAATATGTGGACAATGTACCAGTACATGGTGGTAAATATACCACCAAAATTCCCATCTCCTTTTTTCTTGAAGAATTCACCTTTAATGTTATATTAGTTTTTATAAAACCCAAATATTGTAAACTGTTACTTGTCAGGCAACTTTCTGTCTTATTGCAACATTCATCGCTGAAATAGCTGACAGCATCGGTCGGTCTTGATCTCGTCTTTAAGTACGAATGAGAAGATCAAAACGCCATCGTGACTTCCTTCCCGATAAGCTTAATGACCAGACCTCTTTGAAATCCCTGTTGAATCTCAATGAAAGCCCACTTTTCTAGTGTGCAATTCATCTTTTTTTGAAAGGTTTACCACAGACGACTTGGTGCTGTCTCAGATTTCTTGCACAATGTCTCGTTAAACCCAGTTTGACTCACTGAAATAAACCGTATTTTAGTTCTGAGCAAATTTTTTAACCGTATTAATCCATCTTTTGGTGTCCGAAGATTTTTTATGGTGTTTTTTTTAAGCAAGCCAGTTTGCCTGTGGGTGCATTTTTGTTGTCATCAGGCAAGTCCCTGCACTGCAGCGCGGGCCTGCCCGAGTGGAGATTCTTCAGGAGGGAGATCTCTTTCTTCTCAAAGCGTCTTACCAAGAGCTATTAATTATTAACTGGGAGAGCTAACATCAAAGGAGCAGACTTGTGCTGAATTAAATGGGGGCTGGAGCCTGGCAGCGTGGAGCTGAGAGAAAACTGGGTGAGAGGGAAAAGCCGATTCCACACCGCTCGCTTTTGAACTTTCCAAGTACAAAAGTTAAAGAAAAACGGAGAAAGAAAAGAGCAATGCTAGTTTATGTAAAGGAAGCAGAACGAAAGAGAAAGTTGGAAGCGCTGTTGTTTTTCATGGGGCTTTCCTTCACTGCTGGGAATGATTGATTCAGTTTGTTTAGTTAATTAGTCTTTAATGAGCTATGAAAGCCAGATTCATAAACATCTTGTCTATGGATTAAGCCAAGGGGAAATCTAATTAAGACAGCTTGAAATTCAGAGACATGATATGTTTACATTTTCCTGAAGCTGATGTTCACTCAGAGTCACTCAGAGTCAAGCCCCCCCATCAGAGGACTTTTGTTCCTTTTGTTTTTCTTCCCCTGTGCTGTAAAATAAGCCCATGTACTGAAAATCTAACTATTCTATACAGTTTCATTATTTGCTGTGAATGCAAATAGTAACAGTGGACTGTGTAAAGGAATTAAAAGCTGCCAGTTAAGTTGGAAAAAGTTTATTTCAAACTTGCTTTAACTTCACCTGCTTGTTCTTGGACAGCTATGTTAATCATTACCACCTTCCTACAGACTCAGGAAACACAGGAAACTTGTCACGCAAGCATCCTGTAGAAAAGCTAATCTAGGGTAAAGTCACAAAAATGATATTAAATAATGGATTATTTTGAATTTAAAAGCCTTTTTACTTTTCTTCACTCCTCATTTTTACACAGGACCTTTAGTGGCCTGTTTTTACAATTCTCTGCCATCCTATAGACTCACTCATGACAAGTAATTGATAAATTAGTCAGCAATTATTGTCAGTTGAAGCCTTTGTGACATGATGTGCCATATAGCTACCAATTAGACAAATAAAACTTGAATAGCGCACCGAGGGCTTTACAAGCCTTTGATTTGAGGAGCGCTGAGGGCCTTTTTGAGACCCACGGTGGTCTTTCTACTGAACTACATGGCTGCCCTTTTGACAAATGATGTTGAAAGTTGCTCAACATCCCATTGTTGAATGTTGTTACCTCAGAAATCAACATGATATGTTGGGAAAAGAGCAATTGTGCCTCCCCCGCACATACCACCGCTCCCTGTCCCCACTCCGTGTCCGTCCTCCGTGCCTGCAGAGTGGAGCGGTGACACTCTGCAGCCAGTCGGCAGCGGAGTCACAGCACTGTACATTGTCACTTTGATCTTCACCCCCCGTCCCTGTTCCCTCCAGTTATGAAGAACGCTGGCAAGAGCCCAAGGGCACTTGATAATACCAGGATATGATCCAGCCGCGCTCTTTTAGATCATGTAGTGTAGACATCAAAACGCTGTCTAAATAGGGCACCGTGAATCAGGCGGGGTGAGAACGGGTTGTAGGGGAAGGCAGGAGTTAAGATAAAGGAACTTTTTTTTTTATTTTTTTTTTTTATCCCTGACGAGGGGAAGCCAATTTGGATTCTGCAAGGAGATACTCAGGGTTCTGCAGATCCAAGCATTTCCTTTATCTTTTGCCTTTAGCAGAACTCTTCAAAAGGCCTCTGTTATGACTTTCCCCACTCTCAGATGAAAGGAGCTCACAGTTTTAACAGCAGGAAATCCATGATAACTTTATTTAACTTTTCTAAACCTGCACAGCAGAGTTGCATCACATGGAGCTGTGCATGCGTTAGTTCCTTACGGAAGTGTTTAAGTCTCTGTCGTATTATTAACTTAATATGGCGCAGATATACGTGGAATGACATCATGGTGGAGAAAGCCACATGTGCATCCAAGCAAATGTTGTCCCCGGCTTGTTTACGTCTCATCTGTTCGGTTTAATTTTTCCTTCTCGTTTTCTCACTTCAGATAATGTGTGTGAAGGTTACACTCGGGCAGAGAACTCCCTCTAGTGGCCTTGAGTAAAATGTGAAATCCAACCTTGGGAGTTGAGTGTCTTTATCGGTATGATTATGCATTCCCCAGCTTTTTTCCCCCCAATATATCTAATGATTACTTTGTTCTGTGTTGGCAGGCAAAGAGAGCGGTGCAGCGGGGAGCCACAGCCGTCATCTTTGATGTATCTGAGAATCCGGATGCCATCGACCAGGTTTGTACACACAGAGAATTACTCCGGCATTCACGCTCTCAACAGCACTGAAACAGTCTAATCTGTCTCGGTCTCTCCGTGAAAGACTCTCCGCTTTTCATTTCTGAATGAAGCTTAGCAGCTTGCCCTGCCCTTCTGGCTGGCAGTGTATGAGTGTGTGTGTGTGTGTGTGTGTACAAACAATGATCTTTCTATCTTTAGTTCTGTTCAAAAGCACGCGGATCAGCCTCGCGCATTCAGCCATTCCGGGCCTTTCAACTCTCCCAACTTGTGTTTGGAGGAGTGCACTACACTCTGTGAGGACTGAAAATTGATATCCAGGTTCAGCTTTCACTAGACCATGACCAAACTCTGTTGAGCTCACAATTGCACAGGTAGCATACTTTACCTCACCTCCTGAGAGCGTTCTTTGAGTGCAAGTTTAGGGGAGCACAGGCTAAAGTAAGAAAGCATATCTCTTGTCACACAAATCGAGACAGTATTCCTGACTCCCGTGTCTCTGCCGTTAAGAGGTATAATACTCGAGTTGCTCCTCTTGAACGCCTTTGTCGCAAGAATTCTCCTGTGGTATTCATCCCTGCCACACCAGGCCTGGACTTGCAGGGGTTTTTTTTCCCTCTCTCCTCGCCTCTTCTTCTCTGCTGCCGGATCATAAAGCGCGTAGCTGAGAGATAAAAGGGATTGCGCGCAGACCACATGAAAGGCAGCGCTAGGCGGCTGTGTTAAATTCCCCCGAGAGGCTTTTCCAGTCAGAGCAGCCCGATCAGCAGAGACAGGAGTCACAAGGCCGAGGGGCAGGGAGGAGGAGCTTAAAGAGAATTAAGGTCCTGGGGCCAAAATTAGGAGAAGCTTTTTAAACTTAATGTACTTGACCTCCTTTTTCCTCTGTTTATACTGTAATGTGGGGCCAAGTGCCACTTGGAGTTTTGTTTTGGGAAAAGTTAAGTTTATGGTTAACTTTGTGCTTGTGTACTGTATTTTTATTTTTAGCTAGTTTTTATTGGGGCATTACTTGTTAAAGGGGAAACTCGAGTTGCAGTGGAATCGTTTCTCAGAGTAAGAGCAGCTCACCAGAATCAAGCGGGAGATCAAAAGTTTCAGCATCTATACTTTTAAACCAGAACATACAGTAATTCACTGGGGAACATGACGACAGCAGAAGAAATAGCAATGTGAATATATCTTCGGTATTTCCCTTGGGCTTTTCAAATTACAGATTCCAACCAGCAGACGAGCGGGAAGAACAGAGAGGGCGAGGAGGAGTAAAGGAGTATGCCAACTGACTCAAAAGCCAGAACATACTATTCACTGACTATTTCCTCCTACTCCCTCTGGCAAACGTGGCCGCAGTTTCCATGTCTCGGGCCTATAGGTCATTTTTCCCAGCTGGGAAAAGTTTAAAACTTTTTACATTCACAAAGGTCACCGGTTTCTCTTTGCCTCATATCCTCTTTGTCTCACACTACATATGTTAATTGGTCTAGAACAATCCACCAGAGAGTGGTTTAAAATTGTTGGAGTTGAATAAAAAAGAGCAATCAGTCCTGGGCATAATTAAAAAGGCCTCATTTTGCATATTTGACACAAATGCATTTGAGCTCAAGGTTTAATATCCACAGACCAAACCTCAGCTCAAGCAACCCTTTCCATGAACTGTTTTTACATATATAAAAACAGCTTGAAATTAAAACTATAATGGAGCTAAAAAAAAAACAAAGGTTCAACCTGTCCGTACCTCCATATTGCAGTGGTCTGCTTTGATTCCAGACAGACACACACATCTCCCCTGGGGTTTGCGACAGGAAGGGGATCTGGCTTAAGACTTTGCCTGAATCAAAACATGCGGAGCGACCCACTGTGGCGTCCCCTGGAGACGAGGGATCCGCTATTTCCACTAATTAAGGAGGAAGGGTAGTTCTGACTGTGAAAGCACAAACTTATCGGTTAACTTGCGATTGACTAATACCACAGATAATCCTCCATTATGAAACAGAATAACCGAGATTTACAAAATAGACTGAAAACTAGTGACCGAGTGCATAAGCTCAACAGTAAAGTGTTTACAGGGTCAGTACAGAAAGAGGTTCACCCACACTTCTTTAGGACCAGAGCTCTGATTGGAACCATAGCTGTCGCCACGAACAACACTGGAAAGCTACGTCCATGTTTTATGGGGGGAAAAAAAAAAAGAAAGATGATTTTTTTTTTGATCATCTAAAAATAACCTACATATAAGAAAGCCTTAAACAGTAACGTTCAGCTAATGTGAGTTTCTCTCATTGTCTTCACACGAGGTCGGACATTGAAGTTATCATTGTGTGTGACATAGTGCTTTGGTGCCACCCTCTCAGTAGATATGTTATTGGAAACAAACTATATTAGTTACTTTATCCCTTCCTTTAACCAGCTTTGTTCTGATTGGCTGCACGTTGCAAGAAGAAGGTGGCTGGGGCATCTGTGCTCATACAGGGCCACAAAAAAACCTGTAAATGTGGAGTTCTACATAGACAGACCGCATTATTTAAAACCTTGGCCGTGCATAACAGGTCCCTTTTGAACACGACAGCTTTCATGTCAAAATTACAAAACCGGTCTAATTTAGTTAGAAAACAAGAGGCCTGTGTCTCACGTGTCTTCTTTCTCGGTCTCCTCTTCAGCTCAACCAGGTTGCTGAGGATCCCTTGAAGAGGCCGGTGGTTTACGTGAAGGGCAACGACGCCGTCAAACTGATGAACATCGTCAACAAGCAGAAAGTGGCCCGTGCTCGGATACAACACAGACCACCGAGGGTAAGTGCTTACTCACAAAAAAAACCTCAAAATCGCTCAGTTTAGATGGAGTGCATGTGTGTGGGACAAATCTCAGGTGCATGTGAGGAACTTGGGGATGAGGTGAACATGTTTGTGAGGCCCACGCGGCAAAACAGCGCAGAGAAGCTTTGGATGTGAAGACAAACGAAAATTCCAGCTGTGAAATCTGACCCCTTTTCCTTTCTTCTCTGCTCTTTGCTGCCCCGAGGCCAAAGACTTTTTCGCAGCACTTTGAGAGATTAATATCAGCCGTTCAAAGAGCTGTTTGTTTGCTTGGAATATTTGATAAGAGACCTGCACACTTTGAGGTCAAATAACTTGACATAATGAAACCTCAAGAGAAAGGATTGGTGATGAGAGAGACTTTTCAGGGAGCAGTAGTGTAGCAGTGTAGTAAAAAAAACACAACGTATTATTATTGCTACTGACTCGTTTAAGCTCTAGTCTGCAGAATGGTCTCAACTGTGTAGTTGTAGCTCGAACCTGTGCAAATTACTGACAGAGTGAGAAGACAGTGATGCACACGGCAAAGTGAACTGGCCGGCATGTATAATCATCCACGTATCTGTTCTTTAACACGCCACTGAATTATGAAGGTCGCATTTTATATTATTTGCATTGAGCGGCGAATGAGTCACAGCTTTGCGTGTTCTGGTCTGCTGAGCAAGTAACAAAAACTATAATCAAATATGTCGAAATGCCAGTAAATGGAATTTTCTTTCTTTTAAATGCAAGTCTTTATACGATGAAATAACCCTTTTAACGAGACGCATGTGTTTCTGTTGCTTTCCTTTTCCCACAGCAGCCCACAGAGTATTTTGACATGGGCATCTTTCTGGCCTTCTTCGTGGTGGTGTCGTTGGTTTGCCTCATTTTGCTCATCAAGATCAAACTGAAGCAGAGAAGAAGCCAGGTTAGTGAGGAGCTCAAATAACTTGAGAAACTGTTTCATAATATGCCAGTCTGTGTGTGTCACAACCAAACGTATGCCAGCGTCGTGCTGGAAACACACCCAGATATACAACGCCGTGCCTTGTTTTTCCAGTCAGCACGACTTTGGTGGGAGTTGGAGGCGTTGCGTCAGGCGACAGTAGCTCTGCCGCTGATTGATTCCCCTTCTGTGCCGACAAAAAGCTCTCGGTGGAGGCTTACGTCGGGTGCATGAATCAGGATTAGCATTCAGTTAATGCTGATGCGAGGCTGGCTGGAGGAGCCAAGCGTACAGAGATGTCATGACGGCGCGTAAAACCTGTCGCGGCATTCGTCGAGACAGGTGTAATCCTGCCAGCAGACATTTGTGTCTGCGTTCGCAGCCTGTGCACACTTTCCTTCTTTTTATGTGCGTGTGTATGTGTGGCTATGTAAGGGGGTGTGTGTCGCAGCAGCAGATGACGTGGTCGTGACTTCGTTTGGTGGTTAATTAAGTGAACTCGCCTCACACCGAGGGCGGATTTATCACACGTAACAACCATTTCCTTCTCAAAATGTGAAGAATTAATGAACTGCTTGTGGTGTAAATATTGCTTAAACAGTAACTGTAAATCCATTACGTTACTTTTTTGGTTTTAATGAAGGATTCCTCAAGGGATCGTCCTCGCGCGACTCGAGTTAATTAACAGACGGAAAATCCTGAACTTTTAAAGTCCTCGTGTTTTCTGTTTGTTAACCCTGTGATGGGAATTCCTTTCATCCCAAATTCATTGCTCTCTTGCTAATCAGGGTGTGGGTTGTGACCTGGGATAATACCCTGTGGAGACGTGATTTAGTTAAGCCAGAGCATAAATAACCGTGTCTTGTAAACAAGTGATGCACCATCAGTTTAGGCACCCAGTACTATAAATCACAATGTCTGCTCCACACGAGTCATTTAGTTTAATCCTAGTAGGCAGTTCTGTACGTGCCGACTTATCAGTCAACATTTCCTAATAAGTAACAATTTTAAGGTGATGCAAAGCAAATTAAAAGATGAAACGAGGACAGGGAATTAAAACCAGAAAGATGCTCATGCATCAGTGAAATATTGCAAAATGATGCACTGTGTCAGAGGGAGAAGTGTTAAATCATGATGTCAGCCCCCCAAAACGCACACTTGCCAACAGTAATGTGTAGACACTTTAATGGAATTTCTTTTGAAATCGCTCATCTCAGCTTTTATGTCAACTTTGCTTCGAAAGGTCGTGCAAAAGTCAGATGTTGGTCTCAAATGTGCTGCTACCCCCTCTGACACTGTGCCACACCCTCCTCCTCTCCACAGAGCTCGATGAACAGAATGGCCATCCAGGCTCTGGAAAAGATGGAGACAAGAAAGTTCAAGGCCAAAGGCAAGGGACAGCGCGAGAGCAGCTGCGGAGCCTCTGATTCGCTGAGCAGCAGCTCCACCTCTGACTGTGCCATTTGTCTGGAGAAGTACATCGATGGTGAGGTAAGAAGAGTTTTTTACCTGGGGTACCCTGAAATCTGGAAGGAATGAAGGAGTTATTTCACTTCTCTGAAGCTTTACATAGGTTGTTTTTTTTTTTTTTAGGCCGCCTTCGTGACAGACCATATTATCAATCAATCAAACTTTCTTTGCGTGTAGCACTGTTTAATAATAATAATGGATTGGATTTATATAGCGCTTTTCAAGGCACCCAAAGCGCTTTACAATGCCACTATTCATTCACTCTCGGTGGAGGCAAGTTACGGTTGTAGCCACAGCTGCCCTGGGGCAGACTGACAGAAGCAAGGCTGCCATATCGCGCCATCGGCCCCTCTGGCCCCTCTCAACACCAGTAGGCAGTAGGGTAAAGTGTCTTGCCCAAGGACACAACGACCAGGACAGAGAGCCCGGGGATCGAACCCGGCGACCTTCCGGTTACACATGCGCTTCCCAACCCCCAGTGCCACGGTCGCCCCAATTTCTTTTAAAACTGAGAAATTGATAATAAAACTGAGCAAAATGTTATAAATCTGCACAAATAAAAAGATGACCATGAAAGAAAGGGAAGAAAATAAAGCAAAGCTGGATTAGGAAAGACTGTGCTGAATGTTGTCTGCTTGTAACAAAGCAAAGCACTTTTATTTGATAACTGCCGACACGTTTTGTTTCTTTAAATCAGATTTTTTTTAAATGAGAATATTTCAAACTGTTAAAGCAAAATGCATAATAATGCAGTCCAGACTAACAGTTTGAGTGACACTTTGCAAAACACCGAAAAGTTCAACACAAACGCAGGACTAATGTAAAACATCTGCATTGAGATGGATGCTTTTAAACGCTTCAAGGTTCACGCAGGCATAAGTGAACCATATGGGAGTCAGAATGCTTAACTCTGGTCGTGCTAAAGCGGTCATCCACCCGCCTCGTTTGTTTTCTTTTCATTGCATATTCTGTTGACATGAAACATAATGCAGTTTTTATGGACAATGGAATGGAAGTCCCCCTGATGTGCTCGGGGACCACAGTCCTGCGATCTTTAGTGACACGCTTTCCGCTACCTTTTTAGATGTTTAGCTCAGTCTTTCAGAGCACCTGGAGAGATAAGGGTACCCAGAGTGCACTGGATTGTGATTAGGCTTCCTGTTTTCGCATTGTGGCCTTCTTTAATCCTTCAAGGAGTCATTGTCAAATTATGTATCCTAATCTTTGTAGATTTACAGTAAGAGCATTGCTCATCCTCGTTCAACGATGATGGGGGGGACAAACCCCAGTGCCCAGAGGGGACATAGTGGTGTGTGTGTGTGTGTGTGTGTGTGCGCGCGAGAGTTTGTGGTTATGTGTGTCTTCGGTAAGGAGGAGAAGAAAACAGAACAAAGCATGGCGCCAGGATTGCACAGAGGAAGTGGCGATATAAAAGACTGAATGGCATCAAAGCTGTTTTTGAGCAGTGAACCAAGCAACAAAAGAGCCTAAAGATGAGTCATATTAAGCCACACAGTAAAGTATTTGTGGCAGTGAAAGAGTTGTCGCTGGAAAACCAGTGCTCCTGGCTTAATACTTTGGAATTCTTCGAATGGAAAATTATCATATTTAATGGTGTATGAGTAAAAGCCTGCTTTGTTTGAAAACGTGGCTTCATTGAGCATTAAAGTTGCATTTTACTGTGGTGTGAGTCTAGTTAAGTATTGTGTTTGTCCCATGATGTCAAGTTAGTGTTAAAAAGTCAATTAGACTCACGACCAACCGATAACCGTTCAGTGTAGCTTTGCTGCCACCTTCTGGACACCAGGCTTCTCTTAAGTTCACATTAATTCACACTTTCTTAAACTTTTCTGCATATATAATACAAGTGCAACTATGAAATAATACATATAAAATGTGTTTTTAAAGGAGACCTGTTGGATACATGGGAAGTTTCAAATAATGTTATCAGAGTATGTGCGAGTTGTCTCTAGGCTCTTTATAATGTTAGAGAGGATGGGTTTATCGCTAATATGGTCATCTTAGGGACAGAGCTATAAATACAACGCCCCCACCCACCTGCCGTTCAAATCTTTTGTTTGCAAGCAGCAGCCAATTAGATGATAGCTGTATTAAAGGAATCAGGGGAACGCTGGCTTAAAGGGTGGGTAAATGGAAATAAATGGCTTGTTTCCTGCATCACAGCCGAGTATAAGATAAAATGAGGAAATCTTTTTATACTGCAGTCACTCTTTTAGTAACCAAGGATGGACATATGGAGCTTGAAACCCCTGAAAGCTGATTCTGCTCATCAGGATGTTTTCTGTCGGAGAAACGTTTCGTCACTGTTCCATGTGACTTTCTTTCTTTGTGGAGACCGAAAACATTTCTCCGTTGGAAAGTACGAACATGAGCATGCATCAAGATATTAGGACTCCTTTAATGCAATATACATATGAATGACTTATTGGTAAGAAATTAATTGGCTTGAAAATGTTGAAAATGTCTTAACTGGGTTTAAGAAAAAACCCCAAAAACTAAATGACTTGTTTGTGTGTTTGATTTTTTTAATTTTATTTATTTATTTATTTATTTTTTACATTAATCATTTGATTTTTTTTTTAACCACTGACATAAAGGAGATATATTGAATGTTTTTTAAAATATTTCTAGAATGAATTATTTATCGGACAGTATTATGAGATTTAAAAAGATTATATCAGCGTAATTAAAAATAAGAGCATGCGTTTGATATATTTCATTGCTGTATTTGCTGCTGTTTGTGCTTTGACAGTGCATGAAGATTAACTGTTGAATTTTTTATTTTCTCCTGCAGGAGCTGCGGGTTATCCCTTGTGCCCACAGATTTCATAAGAAATGTGTCGACCCCTGGCTGCTCCAACATCACACCTGTCCCCACTGCAGACACAACATCATTGGTGAGTTGATGTTCAACCTCTGGTTATGCTGAGGGTCCCTTTTAGAAATGTTTCTTAATGTTGTTTTATTTGTCATCACAGAGCAAAAGAAGGGAAATCCAGGACCAGCATGCATGGACCCCGGCAATCCAGTTCATGGCAGGCAACGAGTGGTCCTGCCAGTTCATTACCCGGGAAGGGTGCACCGTGCTGGTCAGGTGACAGCTTACCCAACTAGAACCAGCATGGACCCGCATGGCAACCCAATCACGGTGCTCACTGTGGACCAGCACCCAGATCCCCAAGGTCTGTACCCACCCCAATCGACGTCGGCTTTTCTCCGGAGCTACCACCCCACTCTCCTGGAGCATTCAATCAACCCTCATCACTGTGGATTAGAGCACCGTGGACCCCCTGCTTACCCTTCACAGCCTCATCATGTTACGTTTAAAAGACCCAAAATCCATAATCGCAACTTCTCCCGGGCAGCCTGTTTTTCGCAGTATGAAACCATGTACCAGCACTACTACTTTCAGGGGCTGACTTTCCCTCAACCTCCTGATGGTGGCCAAGGATCTGCTGTGCCAGGGCAGCTTGGTGGAGGAGGGGTCCACAAGAGCCACCACAGCAGGGCTTTTCAGCAAGGGCTGTTGTACCCCACGGTGGTACACATGGCACCTGCGTCTTCTTCAAGGATAGCTGATAATGGCAGCACTTCTGGCCTTAGCTGCTATCACGGGCACCGCTCAGTGTGCAGCGGCTACCTCGCTGACTGTCCTGGCAGTGATAGCAGCAGCAGCAGCTCTGGCCAGTGCCATTGTTCCTCCAGTGACTCCATGTTGGACTGTACTGAAGTCAGCAACCAGGGGGTCTACGGTAGCTGCTCTACTTTCCGCAGCTCACTGAGCAGCGACTACGATCCTTACGTTTACCGGAGCAAGAGTCCGTGTCGGGGCTCCGGGGGGGAAGCGGGAGCTACGGCTTGCAACACAGTTTCAGCTGAGGACTCATCTTCCCCTGCACCCTTGGGACATGACTGCCTCCAGCTCCCAGCTGGAGCTTCAGGATATAACACGGGGGACCATCTCTCCAACTGCAGTTTGGAGCCCAACTATAGCAGTCGCTCATCACTGGAACCCAGGGAGAACAGCAACAATAGTACTACCTCAGCCGGGGCTTCAGAGGCTGCCGGAGGTGACAGGGGACAGGGGGCACAAGAGGAGTCGGGGGAGCTCGGGGCCGCAGCCTGTAGCTGCTGTTTTGAGGTGCTTCCGCCCAATGTTGAGTGCAAAGGGCAGGACTTGGACCAAGCAGGGCGTCTTGCCTCCGAACGCTGTCACAGGGAAATGGACTTCCAGGGGTCAACCTCCAAGAACTACTTTGCCTCTGAGCAATTGTGCCCTTCCTCTGAGCAGGTGAGCTATGAAGGGCTGCCTTGCTGCTTCTACAAAGAGATGAAGGTCCACAGGGCCACAGCAGGGCGTTATACTGAGGACTACGCTGTTAATGTGCAGTATGCACACGCAGACTCAGAGGCCTGCTCAGGACAGGGCTGCTACGAACTCAACCAGAGAATACCCATTATTCCTGAGGACACAGATTGTGAATCGGGTACAGGGGCAGAGACCCAGAGCAGTTTATTACCAGTCAGTGTCACAGTGGAGACGGAGTTGCGGACAGGGGAGCAGCGTGAGCCCACGGACAGGTACTTCACCTCAGGACAGTTTAGAGGTCACCCATACCTTCAAGAGGAGGAGACCAGGGCTTTGTTTCACCCTCAGCTCTCTGCAAGCCCCACTGTACTGGGAAGCAGTACTTCAACATATGAGGGAGGTTTGGGCATATGAACCTGAGTCCTGAAAGAATGGGACAATGTATGTGGTACCGTGTCAGTCAATCATTGAAACCCTCAGTTGCCTTGTTCTAGCCTTGCTCTCTGAGCACTGAATGTTATCATCTTAGATTGTGTGGATTTCTACTGAAATGGCCTGTCATATATATACATATATATATGTATATATATGTATATGTATGTGTATGTGTATGTATATGTATATGTATATGTATGTATATGTATATGTATAAGTTCATTCCTGTGGCCACAAATGATACTACACACATGGATGGAGGTTGTTAACTGAAAATTCAATTGGGTTGGTATTGGCATCTATTTGAAGACTTCCTGCTGCCATGAAGGGTTTGCAATCTGGGCCCAGTTTTTAAAAAAA